GCTTCATTTACCTTTCGTAAAGGAAAGCGATTTAAGGAATGGGCTGGTTTTGGCGTCGTCACGGATTCAAAACCCAACGATGATATTGTCGATATTCTCGGGTTTTTGACTTTTGAAATCGTGCAAACGTTGACGGAAGAAGCTTTGAAAATTAAAGAACAAGAAGATTTAGGCAAGGAAAAGAGCGGCGGTGAGCAAACCGGCAAGAAGCGAAAAGTACAAGGATTGTTTGATCCGCCAAGTGAGGGGAGAACTCCGGTCGAAACGAGACACATTCAAGAGGCGTTTAGAAGATTACAGCAGAGACCAACGAAACAGAGAGCGATGTGTAACTTTACTAGAGGTTTGAATAGGACGCCTTTGAAATTGGTAAGTTGGTTTGGCGAGTTTCGGAGTGTGAGATGTGGTTACTAATGCTTGATAGTTCTAAATGTATCATCGGGACATTTACTTTTGAGGCGCGAGGCGTATGGAGACTTGGGAGACTTAGGAGACGTGGGAGAATTCTGGATGTTTGATATGGAGGCGTTGCGTACACTTCGGATTGGCATAGCAAATGGGAAACAACGTTGGTCGGTTCTGGGTACTGAGTGTTGGGGATGCCTTAATTTGTGCACTGCATAGGATATCATCAACGTGTCAGAAAGTATTATTGACATAATATTATGACAATATAGTTTAGAGAAACTTCCTCGCATTGCAATTGATTAATTAATTGATAGCATTATTCATAATACATCCCATCGCTAACTATAGGAACAGATAACTCATCTCTCCAACTGATTTACTGAACCATTCCCTGGCTAGTCCTCCAAGTCTGAATCTCACTCTCGCTAATTTCCCTCAACTTATTCACGCTCGCCGCCTTGCCCGTAATTACTCCCTGTGCAATCTCCGCTCCGCGCGCCAAAATACTCTTGCGCACAACGGCATATGTAGCTGTCTTGGCCTCGACCCTGATAACACCGATACGTGGATCGTTGGGACCGCCATCGTGGGTTCCATCGCCGAGATCGCCGAGCCAGGCTTTGAGGGCGGGGGAGTAGTATTTCTTGACTGTTTCGCGGTCGGTTTCGACGGTGGAGAGACCTGGGTGGGGGAGGTGGGGTTAGTTGGGGGGAATAAAGGAGGGGGAAAGGGGGAAAGCATACCGGAAACAGACGCCCATTCGCCAGAGGAATTCAAGAACGAGATGTTGATGTGGGAATCGGTGGCTAATTCATCGGTCTTTCCTGATTCGGTATTGGTGTGAAAGAGGAGAGTGGTTCCTCCGTTTTCCTGATTTTGGATGGTTAGTTTTGATTTGTTAGGAGGGGCATGATGATTTGGGGGAAGAAGGGAAGAGAAGAGTGTCATTCCAGGGGTTTAGACTAGCAGATCTGTTTGATGTGGTCTGAACCTTCGATATTGGGAGAGCTCCGAACTCCCCTCGAATAACTCCCTAGATATTCCAGCCCACCCAGAAAAAGAATACAACACGACACAATGAAGAAAGTACATACCTTAGCAGCAACCGCCATGCATCTGCTCACCAAGGCACCCGTCTTTCCATCCCTCGTCGTCATCATACCGAATTTGCACGCATCGATAAAGTCACTCAAATCCTCAACCTTCTCTTTCAAAGTAGGTGTATCGATGTTCTTGGCCTTATATGGGTCGGCCTCTTTAGAACCGGTATCTGCGTTGCTGAAAGACATTTTTGCGTGAGTTGTGGTAAAGTTGTGTTTGGGGATTGGGGATGGGTATTGGTATTGAGATTGAGATTGCGATTGCGATTGTGATTGTCTGGGAAGAGATGAGAGGATTAGTTTGTGGTTTTGGGGACGGGAAACTCTGGTGAGGAGACGGAGACGGAGACGGAGTGAGGATTGCATTGTATTTTGGGTTGTGTATGTATTGGGAAAGAGGTGAGGAGAAAGAGAGTACTTACAAAGCTTGTGTTTCTTGACGAGAGATTTAATTGTAGTAAAAAGGCAGAAAGTATCTAGATGATAGTAGAAGAGAGCAAATGGTAGATTTGGAGTAAAACCGTTTAAATAACCAAAGTCGTCATGTCATGGAAGGCAGATGTTTGTTACAAACAGGGCAACTGGGAGCTACCCCGCTTTAAGCTTAAGCATGGATCGGTTGAGGGGATCAACATCATACCATGACAAGACATGACATGACACGAGATCGGAAATGGCAATACGTCATCACAATCGCATTGCTTGACTAATCGATTTCTTGAGATTGCCATGCCTGCTTTGCCGTGGGAGATCGGGGTTCATCGGATAGATAGATACCGGTAGATAGATAGATAGATAGACACGTGGATTTGTGGGTATGGGCTGCTGGGTGTGGTGACTATGGTTTGCTGGGTGTGGTGACTACCTATGGTTTGCAGGGAGTTTGGAGTTAAGGCTTCATCCGCATTCCCGAGGGTGGATATATTTATATGGGAGGCTGTATGGAGTATGGTTATTGTATTATTCCAATTGACCCCTTTTACGGGAAAAGTACAAGTATATCGTGCATCTCAAATCGTTTCGACATCGATACATTCCAAGGTTGATGAGTCTGGACCTTGACTTGATCTTGTGTTCATCTGGCATGCGGTGAGGACTCGGATCTACATGTGATGTCATTGTGGCTGTACCCTTCCAAGGTTAGCTTAAGTGGGTGTGGCGGTAGTGGCGCACAATCGTCACGTAGGTCCACGGGTTGGTAGGTAATTACCGTGGACATCATAGCTTACCTAGGTACCTAACCTACCTACTAGGAGCTTTTCAAAATTCAGACCTCACTGGATAGAGCTATGGAAACATTACATTACATTACATTACATTATGTCGTCCAGATTTCCACATTGGGGAACCCCCCAAGTTCCTGTATAGTACCTAGGTAATTCAAGGAAAGTTTAATTTGATCATCTTCTTCAGATTGTCATCTGAAGAAGGAAACCGGTCGACTACCTAGCTGCTTTGAAGAGAACAAAAAGCTGGGAGCAATACGCTTCTAGACATCATTCAACCCCGACTAGAAAAATATCCTTAACATCAATCAATCCTTCTTCGCTTATAGAATTATCTCATTCTTCGCGATATGACCCATTACCCCTTTGCATCGCTTCCTTGCTCTACGTCAATTCTCCACTTGCCCACTATGCTTCGATCAAATCGGAAGGTCTCGACTCCTTAGAGCCAAAGGATGTAGCTGGAAACCCCGCAATGCTACTATTGACAAATATCATATCTTGAGATGCCAATCATGATATCCTCCAAGATCATGTGAGTGGCTCAATAGCTGAAAGCGAAGCCACTACACAAGGATACAAGAGAGTGTTCTCGGCTCAGAATCAGATAAGTTTACTACAACATTCTTTGCCAGTTTAGCGTGTAGTCTATCGAAAATGGAGTCTACAGATTGAGGTTTCATCTGCAACTCAAGAAGCAAGGCTTGACAGTTGACAGAGTAGTTCCATTTTGATAATCTCCCGAAATGTTCTCCATCATTCGATACTATTGGAATATGATTGGACTAGATTACTGCGGCACTTCGAAATTCAGAGCAGCCATCATTGTCAGTCTTAATTTCGATAGGTACTTGACTTTTTGGAAATGCAAGTCGCACGCTCGGGTTGCAATCATCTGGTGAAGGGTGACATCAAGCCTTTTCAAGAGCCATAAATCTAAGCCGCTTGACTTGTTTCGAGGGTTATTCTTTTGAAGCTATATTTGCAACGTCTCGAGCTCGATGATATGGCACCCTCGTCAAGAACTAAACTCCGATTGCTTTCAAGAAGAAAAAGGTCCAGAGGCTCGTGATTGGTATTTCGACGGTACACCATGTTGAGTTTCCTTTCAAAGGAGGATTCAGGGCCACAGAATCTGGGATAATACTGGAAGAAGATGCGAAGGATTTCATCGTCATCTTTCATCCCAATCTCAGTATCATAAGCGCATCCATTTCTACGCCATTCAATTTCATAGACTGCATCTCTCTCAAGAATGTATCGTCATGTACGACGTACAACTCCTCTCAATACCATTCCTTCCCGTACGTAATTACAGTTTTGGAATTGAATGGCGTCCGTAGACTTCGAGGTCGAAGCGAAATTATGCGACTGAATTGAAAAGTACTAATTCCACCATTCCTACGTGAATAAAGGGTTGAAGAAAAGTCGCACATTGAGATTGAGTGTTTTTCCCCGCTGTGTACACGCGACGGAAAGATATCTCGACAACTATGAACAAATGTTATGAAAGGAGATAGGGCTGCAGCAGAGAAGCAACGACGAGAATTCAACGCCGTTGAATCATATAATCTGCCTGGAATTACGATGATATATTCATTTGTATCGTCGAACATCAGTCTGCGTTGATACAACATTTTAGTGCTAAAAATGACACGACTCACGAAAGAGGCATAGTTGTACAACTTGAATTCTACTGGAAGGATTTCGCAGCTCGGCCTTTCGCTCTTACGATATTAATCACCAATTCGCCTCGGCATAATTGGTTTGATGGTAAGATCTTACATGCGTATGAGAAAGTTCTCATAAATGGGCTTCAGGTGGGGGCCAAATACCTTCATCGTCCTTCTGGTATCTCAGGTACAGCTGCAGCACATCATCTTCACGTATACTTTCGCCCTTTCGGCTTTCAGCTGATGGACTCTCCTTAATAATCGTTGATGTAGATTCGGACAATTGTTACGAGGTAGCAAAATTGTACCGTGACAGTAGGCAGAGTAAGATTGTTGGGTGTTTCGTGAATGGCTTCACATTTGGTATAAGTAGAATGAATACCATTTCCTTGGCTTTTTTTAATCATCACTCCATATGTTCCTATTTCTAAATACCAATCTCCTATACAAAACAAACTTATCAAGACGACAAATTTCCAAAACGTTCAAGAACGTCCTCAGATCTTTCACCAGCACCAACAATAAAGCTTGCACTTGAAATCCAAACTCAGCCTAGCACTACCGTTCCCTCCAACTCTACTTCAGCAGCCACAATGTCTACCATCCCACCACCCCGCGCCGTAGTGACCTCACACACCGCCTCCGGCACCGCCATTATTCCTTCGGATTCTCAACTTCCCCTATTCCATCCTTTTGGTCCTTTGGCCTCAGGTTTCACGACCATTCACACTCTTCCTTCTCTTCCTTCTCTTCCTTCTCTTCCTGCCTCTTTGATTGCCCCTATCAACCCCAATTCCGAACCATCTATCCCTCGTCCCTCTCCTGCTGGTTTGGTAGTTTGTACAACTGATTTTCCACCCCATTATGTTACCCCCACTCATCGGACCATAACCTGTGACTACATGATTGTCATAAAAGGTGAGATTGTCCTACGTGTTGATGAGGGAAAGGAAACCATTCTGAAAGAGGGAGATATGTGTGTTCAGAGAGTCACAATGCATACTTGGGAAAACAGAACCGAGGAATGGTGTCGTAAGTTTGATTTTGCTTGGAATGTTTTAGGGTAACGAGACTGATTGTGGAATAGGCTGCGTGTGTGTTATGGCTGGTGGCGAAAAGATTGTCATGGCGGATGGAAAGGTGTTGGAACAAAGTTATACTGCGCCAAAGCCCAAGAATTAGGCAGATGACTGGATGGGTTTCATCCTAGAAGGTGTGGCGATGATTGGGTGGTGGTAGAGGAGAATAGCATTGTGAGAGCATTACGTCGCAGGATAGAAGGTTCTGTTCATGGTGTTTGGGGAAAATAACTTTGCTTTTCTAAGGTGCAGATCATACATCATTGCAACTGGCACATTTGATCATCAAGCAATACCACTATGATATTTTCATCACGTTTGTTTATTGCATTTGGTTTTAGGATCCAACACCTTAGGGGAGCACATGGTTGATTAAAGATGTTTTTTTTTCTTTAAAAAATATATGAGGTGTATGCAACACCTTGCCTACTATATTGACCTATCCGTTACTTTCTTCAACTCTGGATCGAGCGGTATTGTTGCAATTTGTATGGAGATTCGTATTTTGAATGGTATTGATAATGTTCTTTCTGTCGCATCGTAACGCAGAGACGTGCAACATTAAGTAACGATGCAGATCCACAACGTACACTTTCAAGTGATTGTTGGAAGCGATATTGTAATGATGCTAATAATGTGCGGATTCTCTCTTTCGGGATTCCTCATGGAACGCGAGAATCTTATTCTAAGGACTGTTCGAATCGAGTGCATGAAGGAGCATGTCCCACCAATATTTGGTGGTACTGAAGTTGTGATCAAGGCGTCGCGAATTTGGGTCTTGTAAAACATCTATACATATCTTGGCTGTGCAAGACGATGGCCTTCAGCAAGGAGTTCTTCTGCGGTAAAGGAGCTTCTTTTAATGCGTTAGCCTCTTGAGTCTTGATCCTTTAAATGCGCTCCAACTCACTCTTCTTCTTCTCCTTCCTCCTTAATGTCATCCTTCATCTCTTCGTCTTCGTCTTCGTCTTCATCATTCTCTTTGTTATCTTCCGCATCTTCATCTTCATCACCATCATCATCTGCAATACTCTCTGTATCTTCCTCGATATCCTTGGTATCCTCTTCCGAACTACTCCCAATCTCCTCATCCGAGCTAGAATCTTCCTCAAGAATAGCCTCATTTACGAGGTACTTCTTCAGATTTCTAGACTTCCACGGAGCCGCCATTGATGTCTTACCTCGAGCGACTTCAACCGACAATTTGTGGATTTGCTCAGCAACATATCCACCACTATGAATCAGTCTCCGAAAATTCGAATCCCTAAACCCCACAAACACAATCACATCCATAATAAACTTCAACATCGGTTTATTTCCCCAATACACGGTCCCATTTTCCACCGCGCACCCACGCGCCCTATCACCCGTAAAATCCACCTGATCCCAACACCTCTTCAACGTCGTCGCATCAAACCCAAAATACTTAATAATCACCAAGGCATGATTATTCTCCGACGCCTTCGCACACAGCGCTCTCATGACATCATTCTGAAATCTGGGCGCCCGGAACGCCTCTCCAAATACCCACAAATCCCACACCATCACGCCCTCAATATCGATATTTCCAGTGTACAGCCATTTTCCAGAATGATCCATGAGATCGCTTACGCGGGAGCGAAACATGTTGACTTCGAATTTGGACTGCGGTTCGCCGAGACAGTCGTGGATGCTGAGGGATTGGTTGGGAGCGTGTTTGTCGAGGGGTTTGAAGCGGGTGGAGATGGCTTTTAGGATGGTGAGGGGCCAGTGCGTGGTGATGGGAGTGTGGTTTTGGAGGTAGCTGATTGAGACCATGTTGCCGCGGAGGAGGTCGGAGAGGAACTCGGGAGGGTTTTCTTCGATGACCTTGGAGAGGACCATTTTGCTGGATGGGGGAGTGTTTGGCAGTTGGAAGTTGGGAATAGTTCGAGGATGAAGTTGTAGAGAGAAGAAGGGAAAAGAAGAGAAACGGCGAGAGGAGAAGAAAATACCCTCATGAAAACCTTTCTCAGTTACCCCGCTTTGGAAGATTAGTTGATGGAGATGAAGTTTCATGAATTCACTTTGTGAAACCGGGCTATTCACTGCTCGAATTCACTATTGGAATTTAGATTTGAGAAATGAACAGAACAGAACACAGATCAACTTTTTCTAATGTTGATTATCACATTTGTTTTCTTGCTCGAGGGTATGATGAGATGATGGATTGTTATTTTTTGTGTTTCTAAATAGTTGTACGTTTTTCTTTAAGAGGGTGCTTTTGTTGTTTGTGGTTATTTCTCGTTTTGTGTGATTTAATTCATCGTTCCCGCATTGTAATTATTGAAGTAGTGATGACATTGAGTTTTTTTCTTACATATTATTCAATGTAGTGTTCAACTCCTTTGCTAGTAATCTGACTTCACATATTCACATCCTTTCTTGTTTTGTTACTAGCCACAATAATGGTTCTTTAAACTATTAATACATTCAACTTTATTATCTAAAATTCTGCAATTTGTTCGTTATTAGCTATACTTCTCTTCTATGAAATAGTCTTAGGGCAACAGTCAGATGTACTGATTTTCTACTATTTCATATGATGAACTTTTCGAAACTCCTTGGTTATTCTACTTCCTGATATTGTCTATTTGCTTGAAATCTCTAACTCTTTCAATAAATTCAATAAATAGAGAACGAGATAGATAAACAAACTCTAACAATCTTGAAAGTTCAGTTCAGAAGTTTTGGACTCCTTTGCACTTGATATTCGTTCAACTAAAACCAATGAGTTCAATAGACCTATTTATATTTCTAGAGCCTCTTCAAACAGAACGATTGTTTATTTGCATCCATCTTACATTCCATCTCGATAACTAGCATCACACCTCAACCCGAAGTCAAAGTTTAGTTTATGCGTAAGACAAGTTCTTAACCTATCGTCCATGAACACATTTTATTCCAGGAGAAATCACACTTAGCGAAAACCCCCCCTCTCATGAATTCACAATCTCGGTAAACAAAAACGTCACGACATCTCCTCTAAACTTCCCAGGCTCCCTAAGCTCCTTAGAATCCGAGTACATTTTTCTTTCATAACTTCACAGAGTAAAATACTACGGTTTAAAAGTACATAATTATTAAAGCTCAAGAAGAAGATTTTTTCAAATCACTGAGCTTGAATCATTATTTATTTTTTCCCCTTGAAAAGTTATGTTATATGAAAAATCAACTCCTTCGAGATCGCATAAACACACATATGCGCATACTGTTCTTGTATCTAAACTAGCATACAGATATCAAAGCTAAAAAGCAGCGAGAGTTGAAGATATACAACAAGATGGTATATCGTAACGAGTAATTTGAATTATACAAGGAGATGATCCCGAAGCTAAGCGATGGAGATTACTAGACGGGAAACTATAGTTACTATTCCTGTAGTAGTAGATTTAGTACTTGACGAAGTGTTCACTTCGTTACTATAAGAGAATATTCAATACTTTCATAATATATTGAGAAAATTGTTGTTACAATATTAATCTGATTAATCTTATCTTTGTATCTGACGGGTATTTTATTCTTAAGGGACTTCATTGTTTTCGCTTAAACATATCATCTCTTTTTATATTAAAATTCTAAGATTATTCTTTTATCATTATATTCGAAACATATTTTCATATAGAAATTGATTATTACATTTTCTATTACGATTTATATGTAAATAAAAAGTATTCTTTTAATGAATTGATAATTTATATAAATTATAAGATTATATATTGAAAACATATAAAACCTAGCTGTCGGGACAATATCTTAGATATTCGTAATTAAAATTCCATCCTATATATATATCTTTTTACAGATTCTTTTTAATACTTATAAGGTCCCCTCAATCTTCATTGACATTCTAATTTGTTTTTATTGATTATATTATTATTAGGATTAAATTATACTTCAATTTTATTACTCCTTAAAAAATTTAATAATTTGTTGTTATTATTATTATATAAATCTAACGATTTATTGTTATCGTTATTTGACGATTTATTATTATTAATATCTAATAGTTTATCGATATTACTATCTAATAGCTTATCAATATTACTATCTAATAGCTCATCGCTATTACTATCAAAAAGATCTGAACTTTGTCTTTAGAGTCAGGATCTAGATCTAAAGATTATAAAAGTGATTCAAAACCTAACATTTATAGCTCTCGTACTACCTTGAATTTAATACCTAGAGAATGCTTATATAAGAAAGCAGCTGTATATTCAATAAGAAGCGGTCTACTTAATAACATTGAGACATATAGTAGTATATTATAGTCCTTATTTCTATCGTTATTACTTGATTCTAATATGTAATTGTACTTAACGTATCTAGTAAGCCCTTTTCTTACAAATAGGTTGATAATCATTATGTATAATTAGAGTATAAATATAGATTATGAAATGTATAAGAAGATCTAAGTATTAGATCAAACTGATTGAGGGTTAAGTCGAAGCCTACTACTCTAATGAATAAGAATCTATAAAACATTAAAGGCAGCCTATCTAGATTTAAAATAGATTTAAAAATGACTGTCCTACATGAGATAATCCTACTCGAATGAAGAAAGATTCTTTATTTTTGACTTTAGATGATAAAGAGATGTTAACTATATCAATATCTGTTCACAATAAAGGAGCAGGCCAGTGGAATGCATGTATTATTGACTATGTAGATTAATTGTACTAAGGTAAAATCTAACTACGAAGTGGAAGTGATATATGCACAGTAGCTTAGAGCACGTGCCACAACTTCCAACACTCCCCCAGAGAGCTTACTCTCTCAGCTTCAGTAGTTAGTTTCTTTAAAATTCCTTTTATACGCCCAATAACTGATTGCTTCGAAATTCGTTATTCCTTGATCGTAGGGTTACTGTTTTAATATGGTAGACCATCAAAATCCGATCGTATGCGAACAGACCTTAAGCTTATCTGTTATTCCACGTGATTTTCTTGAAATCATTAATTTTTTTTTTTTTTTTTTTTTTTTTTTTTTTGATAAATTCGACGTAAGATGAATCCAATGAATCTGATGAAATAGGTGAAATGGGTGGATTCAGTGATTTTGGTCGATTTGGTCAATTTGGTCGATTTAGTCGATTTTGGAGCACATACCACAACTTCCAATACTCTCCCAAAGAGCTTACTCTCTTTGAAACCCCAGCATGTTCTTGAATCTCTCAAATATCACCCTTGCGCATGGTTTTGTTAATCCATCTGCAGCCATATCACTTGTATTGACATAGCTGGTATTGACTAGATGTTTTTCTGTGAGATCTCGAATGAAGTGGTGACATATGTCAATATGCTTTGATCGCTCGTGTAGATGTGGGTTCTTGGTTAACGCTAGCGCTCCTTGGTTGTCTCCGAGCATTTGAACTCCGCTGTTGCTCCCGATATACTGTGGTCGCTCTAAGTCCCTCAAGAGTTGGGCTACCCATTGCCCTTGTTTGGTGAACATCGCCATGGAAATGTACTCAGCTTCTGTACTAGATGTAGCTACAGATGTCTGCTTCTTGCTTGCCCATGAGATTGGTCCACCATAGAACATTACTACCCCACCAGAGATGCTTTTTCGATCGGTTCTATCGCTTGCCCAGTCTGCGTCGGTGTATACTTTGATGGTGCGTTGTAGGAGGTCATATTCTTTGCAAATATCTGATTGAACTCCCCCAGGCCCAAAACGTAGTTTCTGTTTAATAGTTGACCTCAAATATCTCATAAGGTTTTTGAGTGCAACGCTGTGATGTTTGGCAGGGTTAGACATAGCTTGTGCTAATCTCCCGAGACCGAATGCGATGTCCGGTCTAGTGTAAACCATAGGGTGGATCGTACTGCCGATTGCTTGCTGGTATTCGTTTACATCAGTGAGCTCGTCGTCTGGGAGCGTTGGTCGTAGTTGGTTGTAATCCGAGATTGGTATCTTCCTTGGAGTGTGTTGACCATGGGAGATCCCGAATCGGGTAAGCATTGCATCCAGATACTCTTCTTGATCCATAGTTAACACTCTCTCTGATCTGTTACGAATGATGCGCACTCCTAAGATCTTACTAATCTCCCCCAGGTCTTTGGTGTTGAATCGAGCAGAAAGGTTGTGATAAAACCATTGAATATCTCGTTTTTGTGCAGCAGCAGTAACAATATCATCTACATACACTAGGAGAATTAGCTGGCGCGGGTGATTGGTGTATAAACACGGATCCGCAAGGCTTTGTACGAAACCCATCTTGGTTAACTCTCCTTTCAGAAGAAGGCTCCAATCTCTACCAGCTTGCTTTAGCCCATAAAGACTCCGAAGTGCATGTAGAACGCGGCCGCGACGAACATGAACACCTTGAGGGGGTGCTAAATAGATTTCTTCTTTCAAGTGTGATTCGGTGAACGCATTTTTGATATCGAAATGGGAACACTCGAGGTCCTCTCTTGCAACAATTGCAAGGAAAAGGCGAAGAGTATCGAGTCGAACAGTGGGGGCGAAGGTTTCGTTGTAATCTTTACCTAAAACTTGGCTGAACCCTCTAGCCACTAATCTGGCCTTGAATCGCTCTACCTTATTATCCTTCGTCTTAACAACAAATACCCATTTCGTTGAAACTAGATTGCTCCCTTGTGGTAAAATGAACTCTTCCCAAGTGCCATTCTTGACCAATGAGTCTACTTCTTCTTGAATTGCAGCTTGCCAGTCTTTCGCGTGCTTTTTGTCTGCCATTGCTTCTTTATATGTATTCGGTATCTTGATCCCGAGTATTTCCGTTGCTGGTAGAGCGGTCTCAGCTTCTGCTGGTGCATCTGCTAAAATAGTCAAGATCTTCGAAGCAATTTCATTATTCGTCTCCTGTTCGAATTGATGAA